CTCATCCTTCCAGTTACAATAGACAGAGGCGTGGAAACTTGCAGGCTATTTTCTGACTTGTTGAGATTGAAGCCTCTGGTTGTCCGTGGTCCTCCTCTTCCTCTTTCTCCTGCTCTTCTCTTGTGAAAGGGCACTAAAAAAGCTTAGAGCCCAGTGTGGGGGTGCACAAATCCCAGCACTTGGAAGGCAGAGGCAGGCAGATCTCTGAGTTTGAGGCCAGCCTGGTCTACAGAGCAAGTTCCATGACAGCCAAAAACGACACAGAGCTGGTGAAGATGTAATTGAACGAGGGGGCCATGTTCCAGCCCCAGTAAGCAGCAGAACTTGGCAGCTTCGGCCATATTATTCTGGCTTTAGAGTTAAGGATAGAAGAAACAGACTGTGGAATTTCTCTCCACGCCTAAGGAAAGCCACTGAGGCCAGGCATGTGTCAGGGTTGTCCCTGAATGGAGGCCTAGAGAGGCCATTTCATGAAGCTGTGAAGTCGAAGCCTGGACTGCCTTGGAGAACCCAAGATGTCAGAGATGCCAGAGTCGTGGGATACCTGATGAGGAGAGCTGTTAACAGGGAGTGGAGCCAGCCCAAGAGAAAGAGTGTGTTGCAGTCAACAAAGCCGAATGGAGTTGGAGATCTGAAGAGTGTTTCAACATTCCTTTAATTCCTTTAATTCCACTTGGGAGGCAGAATCAGAGGCATCTCTGTGAGTTCGAGGCCAGCCTGGTCTACAGAGTGAGTTTCAGCACAGCCAGGGCTGGCTATACAGGGAGACCCTGTCTCAAAAAAAAAAAAAAAAGGAGGAGGAGGAAGAAGACAAATCTAGTCTTTCCCCGATTCCTCTGTTGGCTTGATGTCTTAATTAGGGTTTCTATTTCTGTGATAAAAATCATGATCAAAAAGCAAGTTGGGAAGGAAAAGGTTTATTTGGTTTACACCTTCATATCACTGTTCATCACTGAAGGAAGTTGGGACAGGAACTCAAACAGGGCAGGATCCCGGAGGCAGGAGCTGACGCAGAGGCCGTGGAGGGGTGCTGCTTACTGGCCTGTTTTCCCTGACCCACTCATCCCACCCAGGACCAATGGTCCAGGGATGAGGGCTGGGTCCTCCCCCACTGATGACTAAATGAGAAAATGCCTTACAGCTGGCTCTCAAGGAGACATTTCCTCAGCCCCGAGGCTCCCTCCTCTCTGATGACTCCAGCTTGGGTCACGTTGACACACAAAACGACCCAGTACACTTGGATTGTGGGTATGGAGAGATGCCCCCCTCCCAAATGCCCTCTAATCCCAACATCGGCAGCCTCAGTTCTGAAGAACTCATACGGGGGCCCAGAGCTGGAGCAGTCAGGGTTTACTTCAGCGGGCGAGAAGGAAGAACGGAGGTGTACTCTCGAGTGGAAGGCAGACCCAGCCCGGAATCCACAGCAAAGCGCGGCCTCCAGTGCTGAGACTTGCAAGTCTTTATATACCGTGGCTCCTCCCATTGTCCATCTCTGAGGCTGTCTTGGGGACTGCTTCCTGGAAGAGGTGGAGATTTTCTTAGAAACCATCCTTTCCCACAATTCAGTCTGACACAATTAAAGGAATACGTATACAGGTACAACAAGCCATAAAGTTGAGAAGCTGACTATGGAACAGGCAAGGGTTCTTGCAGAATATACATATGTAAAGTTAACTATCCCAAAAGCTTAGAATTTACTAGGGAAAGGACAGTGATGTTTTGTACCTGCTCCTGGAGGTGGGGTTCTTCCTGGGGGTGGCACTTTCTGGGATCCTTCCAGAGCCTGCTGGGTAGAGCCTTGCCCTTCCTACCTGGTCTGTCTCATACAAGCCCTCTTATTCATCTTCCTCAGTTTACCAACCTTGCCATTTTAACCCTTTCATTTTCTTTTTAAAATTTATTTATTATGGATGCAGTGTTCTGCCTGCGTGTATGTCTGAACGCCACGAGAGGGCACCAGATTTCATTACAGATGATTGTGAGCCGCCATATGGTTGCTGGGAATTGAACACAGGGCCTCTGGAAGAGCTGCCGGTGCTCTTAACCTCTGAACCATCTCTCCAGGCCCTAATTTTCATTTTCTTAAAAATTTATATATTTTATTATTTTATGTGTATGAATGTTTTGCCTGCATGTGTACCATGTGCATGCCCATGGTGGAGGGCAGAAGTTGTTGAAACTGAGTGGTGGTGGTGCCTGCCTTTAATCCCAGCACTCAGGAGGCAGAGGCAGGTGGATCTCTGTGAGTTCGAGGCCAGCCTGGTCTACAGAGTGAGTTCCAGGACAGTCAGGGCTACACAGAGAAACCCTGTCTTGAAAAACACAAAACAAAACCAAAAACAACCAAAAAGAGGTCGTTGGACCCTCTGAGACTGGAGTTATAGGTGATTATAAGCTACCATGTGAGTGCTGAGAACCCAATCTGGGCCCCCCCCCCCCCCAGGAACAAGTACTTCTAACCATCCCTAACATTCATTTTCTTTGTAATGTGGTTTTTGTTCTGGTTTCTCACCTGAGCTTTCAACGTCTGCCTGAGTGCTGGGATTACTGGGTGCACTACCATGTCTGACTTCGTTTTTCCATTTTGTTTTGTTTGAGACAGTATTTCCCATGTATCCCAGGCTGACCTGGAATTTGAAATCCTTCTGTGTCAACCTGTCAACCTCTCCCATGCTGGGGTTACAGATGTGTACTAATCACATCTTATCATTATCATTTTTACGTTGACGTCTTCAGATTGTGGTATAGTCTCCGTTACAGTAACTACCGAATGTCATTCTCAGCAGATGTAGATCTCCAGAGTGGCACCCGTGACAGCCGTGAAGTCATTCCAGGCTGTCAGCCCTGTGTTTGACAATCTGATGTGAAGATGGCAGCCAGGGTGATCTGGGTTAGCCTCGGCCTGCTTCGAGTCTTGTGGTGTCTCCTTCCCCAGACTGGCTACATACACCCAGATGAGTTCTTCCAGTCCCCCGAGGTCATGGCAGGTAAAACCCCCATGTCCTGCTAATGTGATTGGGGCATCGGTCCCTATGTGGTGGGGAAGGACACGCACGTGGGGATGAATGAACAGGCAGAGTTGCAGCCTCTCTGGGATTAGAACTGGAAGTGGGGAATGGGCATTTTCCTCACCTTCTGGAGAATGGTTATGAAATACGAGCCTCTTCCATGTTTTCCTGCTTGGGCCAACAAGTCCTTCAGAATGATGGTTCTGCTGGACTTGTCAGCGGACTGACTTCAGAGCTGGGCTCTCCCAGTGGCTAGGGAAGCTTGCCTGACTTGGGAAAGTTGTAAAGCTGTTCGTGTAGGCTCAGGAGGAAGGGTCTCCTCCCTTAAGACCATGTTTAGTAGTTACACACAAATGCTTTTTCTTTTCTTTTTTTCTTCTTTATGTATTTTTTTATTTTATTTTAGGTATGAGTGCTCTGTCTGCATGTATGCCTGTAGGCCAGAAGAGGGCATCAGAGCTCATTACAGATGGCTGTGAGCCACCATGTGGGTGCTGGGATTTGAACTCAGGTCCTCTGGAAGGGCAGTCAGTGCTCTTAACTGCTAAGTCCTCTCTCCAGCCCTTCTTTTCTTTTTTAAGACATGGTCTATGAAGCCCTGGCTGTACTGGAGCTCACTATGGCCTCAAACTCAACAAAGGTCCTCCTACACAAGGTCTCCTGCAGCCCAGGCTGGCTTTGAACTGCCTATGACCATGAACCCCTGATTCTCTGGCTCCCACTTCTAGAGTGCTGTGATCATGCCACCATGCCTGGTTTACGCTGTACTTGGGATTGAGTCCAGGATTTTGTGCACAATGGGCAGGCAGGTTTTTGTTGTTGTTTTTTGAGACAGGGCCTTACACTGTAGCTCAGGCTTGCCCTTAAAACTCACGGCACTGTTCCTAGTAAGGCTTCTGGGAGTCACCACACACACCTGACCCTGTTCGACACTTCTATCCCACTGGTCAGAATGTATCACATGCCCACGTGAGCTAAAGAAACAGCTGAGAAAGTCTTTATATCCGGCCATGTGCCCAGCTAAGAGACTAAAGGAGAAAGTTCAAAGACACTTGGCTTGGCTTGTTTTTCTTGCCCTTTTGAGATAACATCTGTCTAGACAGCTAAGGCTGGCCGCAAACTCACTGTGTAGTCCAGGAAGGCCTCAAACTTGTAGCAGTCCTGACTCAGCCCCCAAATGTTACAGGTGTGCACTAGCACACTCGGCTTGAGAACAAGAATCATGGCATGGGGGACCTAACTCTGCCACAGGGCTCAACAGGTAGATTTGAACCGTGAGTTGGAAAGTTCAGGCTACTTTCCTGTATTTTTCAGATGAGTCTCCTCTCTCACATGGCAGAGGCTAGTCACAAACTCACTAATAACCTTAAACTTTTGATCCTCCTGCCTCTGCCTCTCACGCACTGGAATTCCAGGCACATGCCACCTGGCTTCCAAGCTCATTCCTGTCGGCAGAATTTTATTCACTTCACTTATGGAACCCTAAGTGTTTCCAGAGGTCATCCACACTGTCGCCGGCAGCCCCTTCGTCCTTAAACCAGCTGGGACACATAAAACCCTTTTCCCGCTGTGTGTCTCTGCCTGTCTTCTCTGCACGCAGGTGAAGGCTCTCTGCTGTTAAAGGGCTAGGAGGAGAGGACAGGCCACCCGAGACTCCCACGAAGTAGCTTTACCCAAGCATGAGTAAAACCCACCCTGTGCAGTCCCAGGGGTTGTCCACTAGGGGGCCGTGCAATCCTGGTGCCAGGCCAGAACGCTTCCCAGCACAAGCCTAAGCTTGGAACTGGCTCACCCCCGCCTCTCTCTCTGCAGAGGACATCCTGGGTGTGCAGGCTTCACGGCCCTGGGAGTTTTACCCCAGCAGCTCCTGCCGCACCGTGGTCTTCCCACTGTTGACCTCTGGCTCTACCTTCTGGTTGCTCAGGCTCTGGGAAGAGCTGGGGCTCTGGCCTGGTCTGGTGAGTGGCTACATGCTGCTGGTGGGGCCCCGACTCCTCCTCACTATCCTCTCCTTTGCCCTGGACTGGGCTGTGTACTATCTGGCCCCACTGTGGGGGGCAGATCGCTGGAATGCCATGTGCCTGCTGTCGGGGTCCTACGTCACCCTGGTTTTCTACACAAGGACCTTCTCCAACACCATCGAGGGACTGCTCTTCACCTGGCTGCTGGTGCTGGTGTCCCCTTATGTGGCATGGAGTCCCAAATCAAAGAAGCCTACCCCAGGTCCATGGTGGCACAGCTGCCTTCTTGGCGCTATCGTGGCGGCTGGCTTCTTCAATCGGCCAACCTTTCTAGCCTTTACTCTGGCTCCCCTCTCTCTCTGGGGCATTCACAGGGCCTTGGAACCTGGCGTCAAGGCCCTGATCCAGGAGGCCCTGGTGCTCCTGCCAGGGGCTGCTCTTGCTGCAATGCTGTTTATCACTACGGACAGCTGGTACTTCTCCAGCCTCTCGACATCCGGTAGCCTTGTCCTCACACCTGTCAACTTCTTGTCCTACAACCTGGATCCCCAAAACCTTGCAAGGCACGGCACGCATGCACGGCTCACTCACCTGGCGGTCAATGGCTTCCTGCTCTTTGGGGTACTGCATGCTCAGGCCCTTCAGGCTGCATGGCAGCATCTCCACAGCTGCCTCCGTGTGCTCCCGCAGATGGGCTTCTTGGGGGTGCTGGGTGCATGGTCTAGCTCCAAGTCTTATCTCCTCCTCCTCTACTTCACACCCCTGCTCCTGCTATCTGCCTTCAGCCACCAAGAGGCCAGATTCCTGATTCCCCTCATAGTCCCGCTAGTCCTGCTTTGCAGTCCACAAACCCACCCTATACCCTGGAAGGGGACCCTGGTCCTCTTCAATGCTCTAGGGGCTCTCGTCTTTGGCTGCCTGCATCAGGGAGGTTTGGTACCTGGCCTGAAATACTTGGAGCACATAGTCCACGCGCCTGTCCTGCCAGGCACGACCACCCGCTACACACTTCTCTTCGCTCACACTTACATGCCTCCCCGGCACCTCCTACACCTCTCCGGCCTGGGATCGCCTGTGGAGGTGGTGGACATGGGTGGCGCTGAGGACTGGGTCCTGTGCCAAGCCTTGAACGACTTCAGCAGACAACCAGCCTGCCAAATGGCTGGTGGGCCACAGCTCTGCCGACTCTTTGTGGTAACTCCCGGGACCAACAGGCATGCTCTGGAGAAGTGCAGTTTTCCTCTCAAGAATGAGACCCTCTTGTTTCCCCACTTGACCCTGGAGGACCCTCCAGCCCTGTCCTCTCTGCTCAGCCGGGCTTGGAGGAACCACCTCAGTCTTCATGTCATAGAGCTGGAGGGGAGGCCTGCTGTGACACAGGAGCCACGGCTCAGGAGCCAGCCATAGAACGGTGCCACGCGACCTTCTACACGGGCTGCTGGGCTGGGACACTGCAACAGGACTCCCCCTGCTGTCTCTCCCGGGCACAGCCGCGGGTGTTCCTCCAGGTGAGCCCACATTCCTTTCCCTTAGACACCAAAGACCTGACCAGTCACGGTCCCAATGCCAAGGTCCCCAAAGAAACCTAGCATACCCACTGGCACATGTCTCTCTCCATGCTGTCACTTCCAATAGCTGTGTCATGTTTCAAATACAGAGTAGCACCTGCTTATCAAAGACAATGAACTGCTGATGACATCCCCGAGTGGCCTCTCCCACCTCCCACAATGCCTGACTTCTTGCTACCATGACAATCTTTTGATTTCCAATCTGGCTTTCTAAACAAAGGCAGTGTGAAGTAGGGACAGCAGGTGGCTCCCATTCAGCTCTAGTCCCCGGTCTGTGACACACAAACTGTAATCTTAAGGAAGTCCCTTCCACTCAGTCAACCTACCACCCAATCTTACAACAGATCGGAGGGTCCTGAGGTCAGTGTCAGCCCTGGAGCCTGTAGCGCAGGTCCCCTAGTCTGATAAACACATTTCTACAAGGGTCTGTAACTAGGAAACCGTAGTTCTGTCTTATTTCATGGCACCTTGGAGTCTGTGGACTCAGTGTTTGGGTATAAGCAAAACAAGCCATTCTAGAAAATACCTCCCTAGCCTCTTCTGCTCCTTTGAGGGCAGTGGAGGGATTTTTCCAGCCATTCTCTCAAAGACTGGGTAATGTAGCTCAGTGGTGGAGTTCCTGTTCAGCATGCTCAAGGCTGTAGGAACTACCCCCGGCACCAAGAAAAAAAAAAAATCACGCTCCTACAATGAAGAACCCAGATGTCCTCCCTTCTTAGTGCTGTTGTGAGGCCTTCTCAGCCTGCCCCAGTGGGAACTGGGAACACAGACGGCTCAGAATCTGGTACTCAGTTTAAAAGCTTTTCCAATAGCTGCAAGCCTTCTAGATGCTAAGGTTAACTGAGGGGCTCAAATAGAGGTCTAGAAACTGAGTTAGGAGTCTCACAATGACAAGGCAGGTTACATGCATGGGTTCCCTAATCACAGTTGAGTTAGCTACCATAGCGAGTACCCCAGACAGACCCTCAAAATAGAGAAGGGGAAACCAAGCATCATGTGCCACCGTATCAGAGGCTTTAGCGCTCAGTAGTGGTGGAAAAGCAGCCCCTGAGTAGGGTAAATCCTGCAAAGAGTAGGGACTGATCAAGAACACAGACCTGGGAGTCCCATGCCAGGGCTCACCTCACTGCAAGACTTTGGGCCTCCATTTCCTCACACGAATGGGGTTTTAAGTCATAAACCACACAGAATGCAACAGCAAATATCAACACAGACGCTTAACGTGTTAACTATTATTAGCAAGATCCTACAGACTTATCACCAGCTTACATATTTAATCAGATTTTGGCAACTTTAGGGTTGTCATTCCATCCACCATCTTCCCTGGTATTCTCCTGAACCAGTGCGGATGCAGCAGCATTTATTCAGCTTCAGTCCCGCTTGTAGAAGGCAGGCGTTCTTTCTGGTTGTTTATCCATGGCTCTCAGTCATGCTATGTTCTGGTCTAGACTCCCCTCTGAGTCCTGCCTAGTCACAGGACCAGCACGCACAGGTCCACTTGACCTTAGGCATCTGCATGTTGACAATCCGAGTCAGGATTCGAAGCCGTGCATCGTGCCCGAGATAACTCATGAACACTGGGGTCGGTGTAGGTCACTGAAGGGAGGAGGGGACGTGACTTCGGCCCGGGAGAGTCCAGTCTGTGCTTACGCGTTGGCGCCCGGGCCCTTCTGATGACCTGGGGGTGGTCCTGGACGGTCCCGGAGGCGGCGGCGGAGTTCCTGGGTGAAGGTGTCCTTGAACCGCACGACGCGGCGACCCAAGGAGCCCGGGGGCTGATCCGCGAGGGCTCGCAGACGGCGGGCCGCGTCGTGGCCGCGCAGTTGCAGCTGCAGCAGCGCGAAGGCCGTGAGTTGCGCCGCCCGCCGGATGGGCCGCGACTCGGAAAGCCGCTCCACCAGCTGCGGGTTGTGCAGCAGGGCAGCCAGCAACCGCCGGAAAACCATCGTCCTCCGAGCTCCCCGGAACCCGGGGCCCGCCGCACTCGCCTTCCCACCGGCCACGCCGGACGACGGACACGCCGACGCCGCATGATGACGACACGGCCGCCCCAGGATTGGCCCCGACCACGTCCGCTTACAGCAGCAGGCCGCACACGCTTCCGTTTCCGCCGCCGCCGCCGCTGCCGCCGCCTGGTCGTTTCCAGCCGTGGCCGCGTCGTGGTTCGTGTCTCTGCACCATGTCCGGTGGCCTCCTGAAGGCGCTGCACAGCGACTCCTACGTGGAGCTCAGCGAGTACCGGGACCAGCACTTCCGGGTGAGGCGGGCCGGGCCACGAGAGGGGCAAGCCTTGGGCTCGAATGCTGAGAAACGGCTTGCACCTGCCTTACTGGGTCTTCCTGTTTTCTTGGGGTCCTAGCAGTGTTTGGAGATCACTGAGGCCACTTTATCTCCTAGGGAACTTGAGACCTGTTTTTACATTCTCTTGATGCCGCTGCTGGTACCAGCACCAAGGCAGGCAGGTCTGGGTAGTAGGGTGGCTGTTTGATGGGCTTGTTTGTCCTGCTTGGGGAAAGTGACTGTCATGAAGAGGAGGTATCCCTGCGGCGGCTGAGTAGACGCTATAGCAGTTTTTGTTTTTATAATCAGCCAGACCCTGCCGATTGGCACTGCAGTCCTTCCTTAGTGTTGTAAGTCAGTCCTACAAAGTTGGCAGTAGGGAGACTCCCCAGTTGAGTCTCGTTTTTACTGTCTGACAGGCATCAGAATGGACAAGCCACACGAGTCACATTAAGGTGGTCTGGATGGCAAAATCCAGTGCAGCCATTGGCTACGCAGAGAAACCCCGTCTCGAAAAACAAACAAAAACAAAAAGAAACTCAGCCAGCCTAATTTGAAAACGTATGCTGTGCGTCTGGTATGAGTTTCACTTCTACCGCTTTTTACAGTTCTCATTACTTTGAACAGTTCCGCATCAGTCACTTAACCCATTTTGAATTTAAAGCATCATGCAAGGTTAAAACCAGGAGAGGAATCATTCATTTCTTCTGTCAAAAGCCTGTAGCTCTCTTCGAACAGTAACAATTTCTGTCGTGTGCTTTTTCTAGTGTCTTCTGAATGCAATGTCAGTGCTGTATTGAGTGTGAAATTAAGTTACACTGATGCTGTAGACTCTTTGGATTTTACTTGTATCTGAGAAAAGAGCAGCAGTACAAAGTAAATCTGCTAGCCAGGTGTGGTGGTGGACAGCTGTAGTCCTAGGTGTTCTGGAGACTGAGGCAGAAAGATCACAAGTTTGAGACCAGCCTGCACATGTAAAAAGCAAATGGTGAAGGGATTGTTTTCTGTAACGGCTCATCTAAAGCTCTAAAACCTTGTGTTCATTTGGTTTGGTGATTTTGTTGTTTGGTTTTTGAGACAGGGTTTCTCTGTGTAACCGCCCTGGCTGCCCTGGAACTCCCTCTGTAGACCCAGCTGGCCTCGAACTCACAGAGATCTGCCTGTCTCAGCCTCACAAATGCTGGGATTAAAGGCGTGCGCCACCACCGCCCGGCTGTTTGTTTGAACACACAGTGACTATGGTTCCACAGACTTCACCTGTTCAGTCCCAGAGTGGTCTTAAGGCAATGTGGCAGTAGGGATAAGACCAGAATTTTACTTGTTTTGTGTTTTGAGGCAAGGTCTTACTATATAGCCTTGGCTGACCTGGAACTAAACTAGGCTGGCTTTGAACTCATCAGAGGCCCACCTGCTTCTGCCTCCCAAGTGCTGGGATTAAGAGTATACCACCATGCTCAGCCCAAGACTAAGTTCAAATTCTGGCTATAACTCCTGTGTTTCACCTTAGGTGACTCAACTGTTTTTTCTCACATGTAAAATGGGAATGATGCATTAGAACCTACCACATATAGTTCTGATAATAATTAAATAAAACAACGTATATGTAGCTTTCTGACCTGCAGTCCTTTGAGCCTTCCCCGGGGCAGGCAGAATTACTATTTTCTTGTGTATAGCTGCATGTCTGACTTTTAAAACGGTGATGTGGAGGGCTACAGAAATGGCTCAGAGGTTAGCACAGGCTGTTCTTGAGGACTTGGATTTAGTCCCCAGCACCTACATGATGCCTCACAACCATCTCTAATGAATTCCAGGGGATCCGATCCCTATTCAGCTCTCTGAAGGCACTAGCCATGCACATGGTGCACAGACATAAAAGCAGGCAAAACACCAATACGCATAAAATAATAATAAACCTAACCCACAAAACCGTAGCTTGGAGATGGGCATGGTGATCCATGCATTTCGGGGAGGTGGTAGCATGAATATCGGGAGTTTGAGGCCAGACTGGGCTCTATGGTCCTATCTCAAAACATAAAACAAACCAATTGGGCTAATAGACATAGCTCAATAGGTAGAATATTTGCCTGGCATGCACACATGAAGCCCATGGGTAAATCTTGAGCTGTACATAAACCTAGAGTGGTGGTGAATGCCTGTGCTTACTGGAAGGTGGGGGCAGGGGGATCAGAAATTCAGTGTCATCGTGGTTGCATTGTAGGTTCAGTAAAGCCTGAGCTACATGAAACCCTGTCTCAAAAAACAAAAGAGCAAACAATAAAACAAAACAAGGGTCTAGAGAGATGGCTGAAGTAGTACTCTACCAGAGGACCCTAGTTCAGTCCCTAGTACACAGGTATCTCAGCCAGTTTCAGGGAATCCTATGCCTATGCGCGCGCGCGCGCGCGCGCACACACGCACACACACACACACACACACACACACACACACACACACACACACACACACGGGGGGGGGGGGGGGGGGGTGTAACTTGTTTTTTGTTTTTCAAGACAGGGTTTCTCTGTGTAATTTTGGTGCCTGTCCTGGATCTCGCTCTGTAGCCCAGGCTGGCCTCAAACTCACAGAGATCCGCCTGGCTCTGCCTCCCGAGTGCTGGGATTAAAGGTGTGTGCCACCACCGCCCGGCCGAGGGAATAACTTAAAAAGTAAACAAAACTACAGAGCTGGAGAGATGGGTCAGTGTTAAGAGCACATGCTACTCTTGCAAATGAGCCAGGTTTGGTTCCCAGTAGCCACACTACATGGGTTAGAACTGCTTGTAACTCCAGCTTCAGAGGATCCAACACCCTATTCTAGCCTCCAAAGCACTGCATTCACATGGATGTTCCCACACACAAACATACAGACATACATTTAAATTGACCCTTCATACTCTGTCTCTTCTTTCACTTTTCACTCCAACTTGGGATAGCTCAGAGGTTAAGAACACTTGCTGCTCTTGCAGAGCACCAGGGTTTGGTTCCCAGCAACCCCATGGTGGCTCACAACCATCTCTAACTGCAGTTCCAACTCCCTCTTCTGGCCTCCATGAGTACTACATGCAGGTGGTACATGTTCGTGTGTGTGTGTGTGTGTGTGTGTGTGTGTGTGTGTGTGTGTGTGTGTGCGCGCGCGCGCAGCGCGCGCGCGCGCGCGCAAAACACATTAAATAAAAATCTTTAAAAACAAAAAACCAACCAAACAAAACTCTAGCAGTTCCTAGTCCTGGAAGACTGAAGCCCCAACTGGAACAAGCCATGGGGAAGTAAGCCAGACTCTTTAGTTTCCTCTCAGTTTTTCCATGTTTCTCTAATCTATCACTAAATTTGCTCACATAAAACCTACTATTCTGGGCTGGAGGTTAGGAGCACTGGTTGCTCTTCCACTTCCCAAGTTCAATTCCCAACAACCACATGGTGACTCACAGCCATCTGTAATGAGATCTGGTGCCCTCTTCTGGTCTGCAGGCATACATGCAGGCAGAACACTGTATACATAATAAATACTGCTAGCCTGAGTTCTGTGCTACAAAGAATTCAGAAGTGATTAATGCACTCATATTCTCAGAATAAAGAGAACTGGATCAACATTTCCTAAGGACTGCTAAATGGAAAATGGAGTGTTTCTGAGTGAATGCCCTGAACATGAGTCTTCTCAGCTACTCTCCAGCTGGATTCCATCATATGGCTAATGTCTGGGCCCTCACACTAGGCTAAAAATGTCTGGTCGTTGGTGGGCCTGTTGACCACATCTGTATATCTGTGTCCTTTCCAGCGGGAATGCTAGAAAGCGCAGGGATGACACCTAAAATACTGTACTAGTTGAGTGTGGTGGCTCGTGTGTAATCACAGCATTCAGAGAGCTGAAGCAGGGTGTTGAAAGTTCAAGACTGGTCTAGGCTACAGTGTAAGGTCCTGGAGAAAAGAGAAACAAAGCTGGCGTGGGGTTGTTGTTCAGCATGCTAACCTGAGTCTGTTCCCCATAACCACAGTGATCAAACACCAGGTCTAGGCCACAGTGAACCACTGTGGCCCTGGAGGTTGTTGTATGGGCTGAAGCCCACTTGACTCCCATTCCTAGCTTTCTGGCTTCACCCTGTCTTTTAAAGAAAGTGAGTCTTGCTAGGCGGCGGTGGTGCACATCTTTAATCCCAGCACTGGGGAGGCAGAGCCAGGCGGATCTCTGTGAGTTCGAGGCCAGCCTGGTCTACAGAGCGAGATCCAGGACAGCCAGGATACACAGAGAAACCCTGTCTTGAAAAAAAAAAAAAGAAGAAGAAGAAGAAGAAAGAAAGAGTTCTCTTTCCATGCCACTCGTAGGGCAGTGTGGTATAGGAGGAGTTACATGCTCTGTTTCTCCACTAAAAGCAGGCTGTATTTTAGAACGGGAATACTTCCAGGCTGGTAGAGTTCTTGCCTAATGTGTCACATCTTGTGTTCAATCTCCAACGCCACCCAAAACCAATCCACACTTTAAAATATATTTTATTTATGTACATGAGCGTTTGCCTGAATGTACGTTTGTGCACCACATGCATGCCTGGTGACCAACCACAGAAGCCAGAAGAGGGCGTTGAATCCTCTAGCACTGGAATTAGACAGTCCTAAGCTGCCATGTGGGCAATGGGAATTGAGCAGTGTCCTCTGGAATAGTCATCTCTGCATCC